CAGATGTGTGTCCACCTTTTAATTGCAGAGACTATAAATCTCATAACAGTGATGTCCAGCTTCCCTTTGGTCAAAACCATAAATCCTTGAGGTGATGTTCATCTTCCTTTCTCAAACTGTTTTTCTTTGCTTCAATAAGGCGTGAGATAAGCATATTTCCTTTATATACATTCCAAAGCTATAGTTTCAAGGATACAAGTAATATTCTAAAATTATACTTCAAAAGGTTATTATTGCAGAGCTTTTTTTATGGATTAAATGCAAGCAAAAAGCAACATCCTTAACACCTTAATTCCAATGCTCCTAAATCAACCAGGGTTAATTGCAAACAAAAGATAGGTTCAAAGGCCTTTCTCCATGCTTTATTTTCCTCAGTTATTATTAGAATTCACAACTATCCCATTGTCGATGTCCACACATTTCGCATTCGCAAGTACACACTTCACCTGTTTGTACCTGACACGAAACACAACTTTGTATTTCACAAGTCCTAAGTGGTATCTAACAAAAGGCTAACCACAAGTAATACTGTGGCAAGATGTGCAGGTAAAACAAGCAGGATAGCGAAGAAAAGCAATACAATGGGGCAAGTAAGATAACAAATGCCATCAAGAGTAAAATAGCAAGTTCTAATGGAACTTGCAAACTGCAAAATTAGCTAAAACCAAGTTAGACTGTAAAACAAGCACCAAGGCATGTGCTGAAGATAGAGGTAGAAAGTGCAAATGTGAAGACTACAGAAATCTTCATCAAAAGACCACCAGAAGACTGATGACCACCACAGAAGAACTGACAAAGTTCTTTGTTGGTGAAGCAACAAACTCTTGTAAAACCACAGCACAGCTTTATGCAAATGTGAGTATGGTAATGATATGTTGTAATTGTGACATTGCACGGAAGGACTTTTAAAATGTAACTGAAGCCTACAGAAGATTGAGTTTTTGGCAGAGAGATCCCTCTCGCTCCCATTGCTGAATAAACAAATACCTGCTCTGTAGCCTTCTGACTATAGAGTTTTATTTTCTTGCTCAGTTTTGGACTTCAAGAGACACACAAGTCCCAGAGACACACACATGGATGCAAACACAGGACTCACAGGCACCAGACATACAGACCAAGGTGCACACACCTACAAGGTGCTGCTGTCATTGACACCTTGCACAGGACCCACACCACACCCCAGCCCCATCCCCACACTCCTCCCTGTGCCTGGTGTCCTCCCAGTTCACACGTGCAGCGGTGACAAAGCCCAGGCTGATCCTTCGGGAGGGGCCAACCCTAGTTGGTTTCTGGATAGGCCATGGATTAGTGTGTCCCCTTCGTATAGAAAATCATGCTATGAAAAGCCAGTGTACATAAAGGAGACAGTGTTGGAAATTATACAAGGCTTAACATTTTTTTAATGTAACTCTAGTCAGGTTAGTTTGCCTTTGTCTAGAGGAAAAAGGAATTGAAGTTTCTTTTCAATTACTCTGTTTCACCGGGTGAAAACTGATGAATTTAACACCCACATAGATTGGGAATAGCCAGGAGACAGATACTGGCAGATAGGCAGCCTTCAACTCTAGACACTGCCCCCTGGCATGGTTGCAGACACCTGGTCTGGAAAAGATTGATAAGAGAACCAAGAAATGAGGACCAAATTAGCCTTGGAGATGAAGAAATCCATAAATAAGAAACCCCATACTAAGAACTGCCTAACTTGGGACCAATGCACATTGAACCAGGGAATTCCTGTGAGGTTTGACTATATAAAATAGGGGGAAAATCTCGTAAAATTTATGTGTCATAGAATGATTTTCTCTGCAATCTTGTGTGGGTGAAATTTCTATTGCATATTCTGGCCAGAATAAAGCAATGCCTTGATTCTCTAACACTAAAAATGGTTGTTGGAAAGTTTTTTTGTTCTCACCACAGTTTTGGTGACACGTTCATTCTTTCTATTTGACCTGAATTCCGAGGGGGCCAAGGGATATGGAGATCCCACTGAATTCTCAAAGCAGCCATAATCTTTGAAGGTTCCCTCAGTAAAATGAGTTGCCCTGTCCGAGTCCACTGCCTTCACAATCCCATATTCAGAAATCATTTGTTAACTGATCAAATAAACGATCAGTTAGATCAGTCAGATCCAATACCTGAAGTGACTGGAAACACCTCTGGCCACCCTGCCAGCTGGCATACCACTATCCACTGGCTGAGGTCCTTGAGAGGTACACACTTCCCAAAACACCTAAGAACCCCTTCTAATGTATCTCCCCCCACTTTGTCTTTTCCTTGTGTCACTCAGTGGAGTTCTTATGGAATTTATGGTTCTTCTCATTTTTTCTTCTCTCAGTATCCAATTTTATTTTTCAGCAGACCTACAGTTTATTGGTAAAGACAAACCTCTCTCATTCCATTCATCAATTGGTGGAATCCTTTCCATTGTTTCTTTTATCTCTCAGTGCTAGTTTTCTCTACCAGGAAATTCACAGTTTGTTTATGAAGACAAGTCCCTCATTCCTTTCAGGAGGATAGGAGTGTTACAGGGAGACATTCATGTCTCCAAAAGGCCCCACTTTAACAGGGACTCAATAACAGGCTGTGACCTTGAAAGAGGGTATTCAATACCTCTTATCCTGGTTGCTTCAGAGTAATTTGGAGAGGCAGTTTTCCATATTGCCCTGGGACTGCCAACTCTTCTGGGTTCACTTTAGCATAAGCTTTATCGGCACAACGGCGCCAGTTTCCCCATCACCCCTCACAACACTAACTCACACCTCCAATCAGTCATCAAATCCCCTCCTAGCAAAACACAATCACAGCTAGGAACAAACAGAAATTCACACTTTTCAAACCCATCTCACATATTCACCAATAGCGGTTGAATAAAGTGCACTGGCTCTATTTCCTACTTACTCCCTGAATTATTAAAAGAACCCCCTTTGACATAAAATTCAAAGTGAACAGAGACAGTCCCAAGTCTACTAGGAAATACACTTTTCGGTTCAGACCCACCTTGCGTGTTATCAAGGACTTCAGTGTGGTCAGCCCCCAGTACAATAGAAATCCTGACACCCTTAACTATCAATTTCTAAAGTTCTATTTTTTATTTTTTTTTTACAAATGGCACATTGATTAAAAACTGTGCCATTATTCTTGCCTGTACCTTTACCTTCTCCTCACCCCTTCTTACATATACCTGATGTGCCTTCCTAACCAATTCTTGCAAGGGCCCACTCTGTCATCTCTCCAACCAGTGCTCTCACTGTTTGTGGGCTCTCATGTTCCCAAAGCCTCTCTGAAAATCTCTCACCTCCCCGGTGACCCAAACAAAATCCCTTCTTGTATCAGGCCAGGATTTGGTGATAGACTGTATCTTACACCGTGTACCAAAACCAGTCCCTGTCCTGCCACAGTGTCCAGACGCATCCCCAGCACACTCAT